TTCCCGGAGGCGACGATTCTTTGTTGCATGGTGCGACATTCGACCTCACATTCGTGAGCTTCTTTGGAAGGAGGTGCCGACGGTGATAATCCCGTGGGGTCCCGGCGACTTTAGTTTGAGGCATATAGTTGGGAACGACCATGAACTTCGCGTAGCATGGTCGTCCCTAAGATGGCATGGAAAGTTCCGGGAACCTACCACGTCAAAGGTGAGGATTTCAGTCCTGTAATTAGACCGATCCCCAAAAGTGACAGACGGATCGATCTGCCCGTGGTATGGCTGTTTGCCGCGTGCACGCACGCCATGGAAAGGCACTTTCGGATGGGGCGGAGGTTCGTCTGGTCGACACCCATCTCGTTGAGTGTTTTGGCGTACATGATGTTGAAATTGCTGCCCGATCCATCGATACCTTTGTGAGTCGCATTGGACCGATGATCGGGTCGCCATCAGCGGTACCTTCACGGGTGTGGGGCGGTATCCGGATGGTCGGTCCGTCGAAGGTTATGGCGGATTCCGACCATTTGGAGGAAGGCGGCGTGGCCGATCTGCCGTGTAGAACCTCGCGGCGCGCCGACCTTCCGCGCCGTTTGGAGTCGCAGCCGTTGACCTCAAGAAGATCATAAGGCGCCGTTCGGCGTTAGGAAGGTTTCGTCCTTCTCCTCCTCATCGCCCGTAAGCGGGGCGGCGCCTTCCCTGCTCCCCCCTTTTTGGTGCTCTGAGTAAGAACTTGCGCATGAGACCGCGATCTTTGAGCGGTGTTTCACGGGGAAGGCGTGGTTCGGACATAGCCCCTCGAGCATCTTTTCGAAGTGGTTCGGAGTGCCCTTCGCGGGCTTTCGACTACCCTTGCGGTCGGCAGTGGCTGTGAGCGAATCGTTGTGCCGTTGCTTCTTGTTCTTCTTTTTGGCGGAACGGTTGGAGGCGCCTTCGCCGGCATCATCGTCCCGCTTGGCCTTGCCGTCGAGGCGATCGAAGATCGCTCTGACTGCCTCCTCTCCTAAGGCGTGACTGGTCGCGATGTCCAGGAGTTCCTTGGTCATTCATGGGCTCCTGCGTCCCAGTTTGTGAACTAAAGACTCGCAGGTCGTCCTTGATAGGATGGCTCCTATCACATCGGCGTCGGCGACATTGGGAAGCTCGTTGCACTGCCGCGAGAAGCGCCGGATGTACTCGCGGAGAGTCTCACCGGCCTTCTGACGGCAGTTCTTAAGGTCCCATGGGTTCCTGGGGCGTTTGTATGTGCCCTAGAAATTTCCCACAAAGATTTCCCTCAAATCCGCCTGGCCTGTATGGTGTTGGGCGGTAGGTGCTCAACCATGCTCGTGCGAATTGGCCAAGAACAATTGGGAGGTTGCGAGTAATGAAGTGGTCATCATTTGCGCCACCGGCTTGAGCGAACAAGCCGATAGTCTTGAGCGAGCCGGGGTTAGTTTCACCGGAATATTTAGGAGCGTTGGTGGGCGGTCGATACCTTGATGGGAAAGCGGCGTTGAGGATGTGTCGGCCGAAGGCTTGAGGTCCTAAGAGGCCAGGGCTCGGACTCCGGTCCTCACCGCTGTCGTAGTGTCTGCCATGCCGAGGGTGGTAGCCATGTCTGGCTCCTTCTCTTGAGTTGTTGTAGGCGCGTCTGCGGGCGTCGATGGTCTTCTGCCAAGTCATGGTTGTGGCCGAGGCGTTCATGCACGGGGCCAGTAGCGCCTCGCTTTGCCGTCTGGTGGCATTTGGTGAACTGACGCATCTTTGGTGGGATGCACCGAGGGCGTGCGCTGGCTGGTGTTGAGCAATGTGCGGATTTCTCGGCGGGCCCGGCGATCCTCGGACGTCGCAGCCTCTGGGAGACCGTGAAGTAAGGCTGTTGCGGCGGCGATGTTTTGGCTCACCCGAGCGAAGTGTGGGAGAGCCCCATCGTCGATGAGGATCCTTTGGTGTACTGACACTGGCGAAGCGTGCGTCTTGCCCACCAGCTCCGTGGCGTCGCCCTCTCCCTTATTGACTTTCTCGTATTCCCGGGCAAGCCGTTGCCCGGCTTCAGCGATCTCCTCCTTCGGGCTCTTAGTCTGCTCCACCCCTACGTTGGGCGGGCGGCTGCTCCTCTTTGGGTTGCCCAGTAGTCGGAATCTGAGGTAGTCTCCTCCCGGAGGCGCTTTCGACGTGTCCTTGGGGTTTGCGTCACAAAGCATTCTGAGAAGGACGATGGCTCCCCTCTGGAGTCGGAGCTAGAGGATGACTCGGCTCTTGGCGAGGAGTTTGTGGAGAGACTACATGTCATGTTCAATCACCCCCACGAACTTCGTTGTCTGCGGGCGTTAGAACCATGCGTAGTGCCGGAAGATGGCTCGCGGTCACCGCGATGTTCGCGAGACGAGCGGAAGCGCCGTCGGGGAGCTCCGTGCGTGTCGTTCCGGAGAGATGTGTCTCTCCGGAAGGTCGCGCCATCGTTGTCGCCGTTAGCAATGGCGAGCGATCTTTGCTTCTCCTGGACTCCCATGGTCCATGGGAGGCGTCGGTGATGCCCAAGCCTCTCATGGTGAAGGCCGTTGGAGGGAAGAGATTGGATGGCGGCGTGTGACCTTGACAACTCTCCTTCCCCGCGACGATGAAATCCAGGGCTCCCGAACGCACGCGTGCGCGCTGGGACCCAGCTAATGTCGTGGTTAGCCATCCGCGGCCTGGTTTGGAATGCGCATAAAGGCCCCTACCGGGCGAAGCAAGCTGCCGGTGTTTCAACAAACACCGGCGAGTAAATTTGTAATTGATGCGCGTTAGGCGGATGGTGCGCTAAAGGACACAAGGGTTATCTTGGTTCGGGCTGAATGTCCCTACGTCTAGTCTCTGTTTCTTGCTTGTGTTATTAGCACCGAATGAGGTTCGTAGTAGGGGTACAAGCGGTTGGAAGAGGAGAGACCCCAAGTCCTGAAGGAGTGATTGGAAGGACGCCAAGAGCTCTGTTGGCGCTTCGGTGTGTGGTGCGTGTGTGTGCTAACTTTGCTCGAATCGGTTGATCGATCCCTTAGTGGGAGCCCCGCCTCCCTTTTATAGATCAAGGGGAGCGGGGTTTTTTCACAGACGGGGAAGAAGAAAACACTA